TGTAATGTAATGATTATAGTTTGTAATGTAATGATTATAGTTTGTAATGTAATGTAAGGGTTATAGTAGTAATGTAATGTAATGATTATAGTTTGTAATGTAAGGGTTATAGTTTGTAATGTAATGTAATGATTATAGTTTGTAATGTAAGGGTTATAGTTTGTAATGTAATGTAATGATTATAGTTTGTAATGTAATGTAAGGGTTATAGTTTGTAATGTAATGATTATAGTTTGTAATGTAATGTAAGGGTTATAGTTTGTAATGTAATGATTATAGTTTGTAATGTAATGTAATGATTATAGTTTGTAATGTAATGTAATGATTATAGTTTGTAATGTAATGATTATAGTTTGTAATGTAATGTAAGGGTTATAGTTTGTAATGTAATGATTATAGTTTGTAATGTAATGTAATGATTATAGTTTGTAATGTAATGTAAGGGTTATAGTTTGTAATGTAATGTAATGATTATAGTTTGTAATGTAATGATTATAGTTTGTAATGTAAGGGTTATAGTTTGTAATGTAATGTAATGATTATAGTTTGTAATGTAATGATTATAGTTTGTAATGTAATGTAAGGGTGTAAATAATATAATCCGAGGTTGGTAATAACTATGACATCATCCTCACAGAAAAGACACACAGACTCCACATGTATATTTCACACTTTAAAAAAACAAACATTTCTCATGTGTATTGCATGTATTTTTATTTCACTTTTATTATTATTTTTTAAACACGTGATTAATTCATTTTCACGCGCAGCCCTTTTTGTACCGCGGAAATGTGCGCGCGAGTTTATACAGTATTCTATAATGCAGGATAATTAAACCATTATTTTTTCCATCTTTTCCGTTTTAACACAACAAGGAACAAATGTTTTAAAAAAAACCGCCTTTGGTAATGTGAGACACCGAGTGTCCTGCACACACTCTGGATACACACAGTGCTCAGACACTTACCTGTCTGGTTTTTTGTTGTGGTTGTTGGCTTGTTATGTTGTTTGTTTATTATGTCTGTAATGTTTATGTATAAATGCAGATAAGTGTGTGTATTATCTGTGCACCTTTTAGTTTAATCTATCTGCACGATTTGCTTTGGCAGGAATGTGATTTATGAGATTCATGCCAATAAAGCACTGCGGAGATGAGATCACGACTTGGCTTTACAGATGGCAGGAAAACGACACAAAAAGACGACTAGCAAAGCAAAGCCACATCATCAGCTGGTTAATAAAGTGGACAGCAGACAGCAGACAGCAGACCTCGTCTCCCCACTCCTCCACAGCAGCCTGGTGTTCCGGGTCCGACAGGTGAATCGCGTGAGGCGGAATTAAAGGGCGTGTCTCTGAACCGTGTCCCGGGCTGCAGAGTTCATTCACTTCATTATCAGCTGTACAGAGCAGCATGGAGACCGCAGCCAGGCAGCCAGAAAGCGCTCCAAAAGAGAAGAGAAATCCGCACAAAGCGGCGTTAATCCTGGCCAGAGGAGGCAGCAAAGGGATTCCCCTGAAGAACGTCAAGGTCCTGGCTGGAGTTCCTCTGATCGGCTGGGTGATCAGAGCAGCGCTGGACTGTGAGCTCCTGGACAGGTAGGAGGGAGGGAGCAGGGCTTTAACCACAAACCTCTCTTCACCTCACTGCAATATCATTACCTTCAGCCCCAGCACTTTTATCCCTCCAGTAAAGGTGAGGAGAAATTGAAAGTGTGTGTTATTCACGTCAGGAAAAAACCCCAAAAACATATACCTTGAGTCAGAGCTGTAATGTCATTAAGCAGTGTAGCTGTCAGAGAGTCAGTAAGTGAAGAGCAGAGCAGAGCTGCTGAGGGAGCAGGAGGACAGGAGAGCAGGAGGACAGGAGGACAGGAGAGCAGGAGAGCAGGAGGACAGGAGAGCAGGAGGACAGGAGGACAGGAGAGCAGGAGGACAGGAGAGCAGGAGAGCAGGAGGACAGGAGAGCAGGAGGACAGGAGGACAGGAGAGCAGGAGGACAGGAGAGCAGGAGAGCAGGAGAGCAGGAGGACAGGAGGACAGGAGAGCAGGAGAGCAGGAGGACAGGAGAGCAGGAGAGCAGGAGGACAGGAGAGCAGGAGGACAGGATGCGCCTCAGGCTGAGCTGGGAGCCATGCTGTCATTCAGGGAAACTCACTCAGCAAAACGAAATCAAATCTTTTTAATGAAGTCTCATCTCCTTTTGTCTGCTGGCTTGTGCTCAGTAAGTCTGCATTTTTATGCTGTCGGTTTGTTTGGCTCTGTAGCCAACAGATAAAAAACTACTGCTGTTAAAGGTAATCAGAAATAAGCATTTCTATGCATTTTCTCGATTAAACAATTTTTGCACTAGAGTGGAAAATATTATAAGAGAAAATAAAAGTTTTTGCAAATTATAAGCTATACAATTTATGAAAATTTCTATAATTATGATTATAAGATGGCCAGAAATAAACAAACTGTATAGAGATTCAGACACTCCCTCACGAAACACAGACACACACACACACACACACACAATTCATCAAACTTCAACTAATCTACAGGCTAATAAAAATTCAAAAATAAGCAATGTGGGTTTTTAAGAGAAACTTTTTTTTTTTTTTTTTTTAAATGCCGAGATAAAAGAGATAAACTGTCCTTGGGGAAAATCTATATATATATACATTGCTCCTGACATGTAAAATGCAATCAACACAATAAACACAACTTAATTATCAAGCAATGAACTAATATAAATAAATTATGTGAGACGTGTGAGAGATGTAACATGTGAGACCTGTGACGTGTGAGGGGTGTGAGAGATGTTTGAGACGTGTGACTTGTGAGACATGTGACATGTGAGGCGTATGAGAGACATGTGACTTGTGAGACATGGTGTGATGTGTGACGTGAGACGTGGTGTGATGTGTGACGTGAGACGTGGTGTGATGTTTGACGTGTTCTCTCGTTCTCAGCGTCTGGGTATCCACAGACCATGATGAGATTGAGAGGATTGCCAAACTCTGGGGTGCTCAGGTGATTCGCCGGAGTCCTGAGGTTTCCAAAGACTCCTCCAGTTCAGTCGACACCATCCGCGAGTTTATCAGACTGAGGCCAGGTACGTGAAATCATGTGTCACCCGTCTGTGAGTAATAAAGACACAAAGCCACAATCCTGAGTGTCAGATGCACAATGAAAATGGATTAGAGCTGATTATAAGAGCTGATTACACTCCTCTTTTCCAGTCAAGCAACACAAACCCATCATGACATTATGTTATTTATTTATTTATGTTATTTAGATTGTATGTGAGATATGAGCATCATTGTGATTGATGATACACTTCTATCAATAATAAACTCGCAGCTGTAGATAAAGTACAGAAATACAGTAGAGTATCTTATCAGTAACCCTATAGACAGTTATGGCTGTTGAGTGAAGAGCTGTACACAATGTTGTCAAATATTGGCAACAGACCAACAAAGATGATTCAGCTCAGCAGAACAAGTAAGTTCCTGTTCTCAATTAAAATGGATATAAAAAGTTTACATACCCCTGTTAAAATGGCAGATTTATGTGAAGTAAAACAATGACATTAAGATAAGTCATGTCAGAACTTTTTCCACCTTTAATGTGAAATTGTCAAATACACAAATAAAGTGAAATACAATCAGAAACTTTTTTAGGGAAAAAAAGAAAAATAAAAAAACTTACAATAACCTAGTTGCATAAGTGTGCACACCCCTAAACTAATCCTTTGTTGAAGCAGCTTTTGATTTTATTACACCAGTCAGTCCTTTTGGCTAAGAGCCTATCCACATGCCACATCTTGTCTTTGCAATATTTTCCCACTCCTTCTTTCAAAAACATTCCTGATCCATTGAATTGTGAGAGAATCTCCTGTGCACCGCCCGCTTCAGGTCACCCCACAGATTTTTAGTTGGATTCAGTTCTGGGCTCTGGCTCAGCCATTCAGAAACATTGATCTTCTTTTGGTTAAGCCGTTCCTTTGTTGATTTGGATGTATGCTTTGGGTCACTGTCATGCCGAAAGGTGAAATTCCTTTTCATCTTCAGCTTACTAGCAGATGCCTGAAGGTTTTGCACTAAAATCGGCTGGTATTTGTAGCTATTCATGATTCCCCTCCACCATAACAAAAGCTGCATACAGACAGCTCCTGAAAGTTTGTGAAACAGGTGAGAACCTGCTTTGAGCACACAGGCTGGAATATGTTCAGAGAGGCTGCTACATACTACAACACCACAGACTTGGAAGAATACACAGCATTAGTGTCTGGCTACATCAGCAAGTAGATAGATGATGTGACTTCCTTCAAGACCACCACCACACGTGCAAACCAGAAACCGTGGATGACTGCTGAAGGGCAGTGGTGGCTCAATGGTTAAGGCTCTGGGTTACACATCAGGAGGTTAGGGTTCAAACCCCAGCACCGCTAAGCTGCCACTGTCTGGCTCTTAAACAAGGCCCTGTATCATGGCTGACCCTGCACTTTGACCCCAACTTCCTAACAAGCTGGGATATGTAAAGAAAAGAAATTCACTGTGCTATAATGTATATGTGACAAATAAAGGCTGATGTTTCACAGTGTATATTCCTAAACCCTGACTTCTTATTTGCATGTAACTATGTTTGGATAAATACAGCACATGAACGGTTTAATAATGGCTTGTTTTGCTCTTTCACATGAGCGAGAAGAATTTGCATGAAGCATGGAAAGACTTTTGTTTACTTGGTCAATTTGTGATTAGGTGTCTGTTGCTAAACATCTAGCCATAACATTCTAACACTGCATTGTTTCACACTGTACACGTTTGGCACCGCAATGCGGGGTTAACACTGAGCAGGGAGCAGGGTTTCATAACCCCAGGTAAAAAGCGGTGCTAACACCGCTTCTAAATTACAAGTGTGAAATGTTCCTCTACCCAGGGTTAAAAGCGGCGTTTAGAATGTTGATAACTCGGGGTTAAGTGCAGTGTGAAGCCCTAAAGTGCATGTGGCAAGGCATTCAGACCATCACAGACTACAAAGCTACACCACTTCCAGTACACCATGTACACCATTGCTTGCAAACACACTGAACGATTTCTATGCACAGTAGTTCGAAGCACGGAACATCATGCCAGCGAGGAAGACCACCCCAACTCCCACCGACCAAGTACCTTGTCTGCAGTAGACATCAGGAAAACTTTGTCCAGGAGCATTCGTTCCACCAGCAGCAGACTCCATGACAGTTTCTTCCTTGAGGCAGTTGGATTACTCAACACCCTGCTGCCTCACAGCGCTCACCTGGGCTAGCAAATCACCTGACGCAGTATGACTCAATACCACTGCACACCTGCACCTTACAAATCTGTGTCAGTCACTTTTATTATGGAACTCATTTTTGCTGCCAATATACAGTACTGCTGCTATATTTATTGCTGCCTCACTACAAAATAGTTTACAGTTTGCAGCCCATGTTCTGTTGTGTATTGCACTTTATGCAGTCTTGTTTACTGTTCTTTGTTGCTGGAGAAATGACATTTCGTTCTGATGTATACTAGCTATACAGAGGAATGACCATTAAAAAAAAACACTTAACTTGATGCTGCCACCACCATGCTTCACCGTGCGCCAGACATTTTGCGCCTTTTGGAAGTATGGAATTATTATACCTTTTGGAATTGGATTCATCAAACCATAACATATTTTGCCACATTAGTTGGGTTTAGATGTTTTTTGTGAGAAATGCTTTCCGTGTAGCCGCCCTTCCCCATAGCCCATACATGTGAAGAATACGAGAGATTGTTGTCACATGCAGACAGTAATCTGTACGTGTCAGATATTTCTGCAGCTCCTTTAATGTTGCTGTAGGTCTCTTGGCAGCCTCCCTGGTAACTTTTTGTCTTATCCTGTTAAATTTTGGAGGGACGTCCTGTTCCTGCTGATGTCCCTGTGGTGCTCCATTTTCTCCACTTGTTGATGATGGCCTTCATGGTGTTCCATGGTACATCTAATGTTTTGGAAATTCTTTTATACCCCTCTCCTGATCAATTCCTTTCGACTGTGAGACCCTGTACAGGCTTTGTTAGCTCTTTGCAGAACATGGCTTTAGCAGTCAGATGAAACCAAGAAGATGTGAAGAAAATCCTACAGAAACAGCTGGTCTTTATTTGGGGGTGGATCAGAATAATTTCACTGATGACAGCTGTATGATAATTACTTTTGAACATAAAATTGGATGTGATTGGTTCATTCTGAACACAACCACACCCCCAATTATAAAAGAGTGTATATACTTATGCAACCAGGTTATTGTAAGTTTTATTATTTTTCCTATTTTTCCCTAAAATGTTTCTGATTGTTTTTCACTTAAATTTTATACATTGGAATTTCACATTGAGGGTGGAAAAAGTTCTGACATGATTTATCTTGTTTGCATTTTTACAGCCATTTTAACAGGGTGTGTAGACTTTTTATAGCCACTGGATGCTATAGCAGCTATAAACAGTTGTTCCCACACCAGCCTCTCTTTTTTTCTCTCTCTTGAAATTAATAAGACAGAAAAAAAAACAGTTTGTTACGTTACAGAAATTTTTTCTCGTATTGGGTATCAGCACGACACTGAGCTCATTAGTGTACGTTGTTGCTCTCATGAGCAGATGACCACAATTTTTATATGCTGTGCACTTTATTTAAAATCGTAATAAGATGCCATGCTGCAGGTGCAAGCTGCTAACCTTTAACCGCCAACAGAATGTAAAAGTGTGACGTCTCGTGCAGCGTAGAGCCCCAGCCCTACCCAACTCCCCAACAATAAAGAGTTATTGTCTCATGACCATCCAGTTTGAGTAGGACTCCAGATATTCACATTTCCTGAACACACTCTTCTCTCATCTGTGTTTTAGAGGTGGACATTATTTGTCACATCCAGGCCACCTCTCCATGTCTGCACCCGTACCACATTAAAGAGGCGTTAGAGATGATCACAGAGGAGGGATATGACTCGGTGTTTGCTGTGGTGCGCCGACATCAGTTCCGCTGGACTGAGGTGAAGAAAGAAGGTATGATGAGTGAAGAATTTACTTCAGGAATAAGGGAATATATTAAATGTGTTCATGTATTTTGGGTGGATGCCAAAGACAAGAGGAGAAGATTGATTTATAGTCAACCAATCTTGCCATATTTTCTAATGTTAATAGGTTTAGAAAACTAAAATACCTTTACCATAGTTACACTGAGAATGATTAAAATAATAATAATAATACCACACCCTACCATTTAAACCAGTTCTACTGAATGTGTGTGTGCATGGTGCCCTGTGATGGCCTAGCGTCCCATCAGGGGTGAATTCTACCTCTTTGACCCAGTGTTACTGGGATAGACTCCAGACCTACTGCAACCTTTGACAAGAATGAAGCACTTACTGAAGATGAAGGACTCAATGGAAAAAATAATTCAGTATAACTCAATTCCTTCTGTGTAAGATTTGCCTAATTATGGATTTCCATTAGATATTAATTGGTCAGTTGTTGGCTTTAAGAATCAGTTTTGACCCCAGCATTAAGGGCATATTCTGCCTCCCTGTTTGTAATCCTGCTCTAGAGGGTAAGAACCCTGTTCCTCTGAACCTGGACACTTCCAGGAGGCCACGCCGTCAGGACTGGCCAGGCGAGATCTGTGAGAACGGTTCCTTTTACTTCACCAGGAAAGAACTGTTGGAGAAGGGCTTTCAGCAGGTACAATCTCCTCTGCGATTGGTTTATACACATGTGCATGTCATTAATGTCTAGGAGTGACACTGAACTGAATTCTGACTTTATACATCAAGAAAAGCAAACAGAACAACTCAGTAAATATTATATCACAGGGTTGGGCTGCACTAAACTCATTAATCAAGATATGCTCATCTAAGTTTTATTATAATAAAAAAAAAACAATTATAATTATAGTATAATCTTCTAATAGTATAACAGTATAATATTAGTTAATATAATATTACTATAATACAATAGTATAATATTCTGATTTTGACAATTCACCTGTTATCTGCTGTTATTCTTGGAAATTTAAACCACTTCATCTGCACTGAAATTAAATCCAAGTTTAAGGTAAAGGAGAAACAGGTTTACAGTTAATCTGCATCATTTTAGTGTCCAAATAAAACCAAGGTTAAACAATGTCTTAAATCCAGTACTGATTATAAGTTTTGCGCAAATGGATTAATAATAGATAAACCTTAATTTAATCCAGATTAAAGGTTAATCCTAGTTGGTGCAGTCTGAGTCTCAGTTATTAGCATTTTTTCCTTCTCCATGTGACATGAAGGCTGGCAGAATTGCCTACTACGAGATGCTTCCTGAGCACAGTGTGGATATTGATGTGGACATTGACTGGCCAGTAGCAGCAGAAAGAGTCCTCAGGTAGGGACGAAAACGTCTCCTTTTCACCGCTGATACTTTACCTTATGATGCGTTCACTTAACACGTTGCTCCACCGAAAATAACCTGAAGAGTCGTTTACTGTGATAATCTGTACGGTATATAAATCAATAAAACAGTGGGCGAGCTGCTTTCAAGAATTTCCTTAGGGATCAGTAAAGTTCATCTCATCTCATCTTAAGTAAACTTACTGTGTAGAAATCTTACTGAATTTAAAGTGCAAGTCAGAACGTATTCGTATGTAAAAGTAAAAAAGTTATTTGATTTGAAGTCAGAGGTTCAAGTCCTGTCAGTAAAACCTTTTTTTTTTTTGGAAGCTAAGAACCCTTTAATCATCTAATGAACCCCTAAAGAACCCTTGAAGAACCCCTTTTTCTAAGTGTGTGTATAAACTGGGTGAGTGTGCGGTACAAAGTTCTAATTATTGCTCGTTATTTTCTTCATACCTAGAACCTGTCAGGCATTTAATATCTAGCTTCTTGGGGTTTGGTACACTCTCAGAAAAAAAATTATTTTAAGCCTTTGGATTGGAAATAACAATTAATGTTTAATTATGGTTTACATTTTTCATTTCAGAATGTTGTATTTGATTTGAGACACTTTATCAGTTGTATATACAGATGAATCTTTACTGTTCTTTGGCAGGTTCGGTTATTTCGGGCGTAATAAACCCACAGTGTTCAGGTTAATGCTCTGCTCCATGTCCGGCTGTCTGACTGATGGACAGATTTACATGTCGGTCTCCGGGGAGGAGCTGGTGTCCACCAACACACAAGACCTCAGTGCCATTCCGCTGCTGCAGAGCGAGAAAATCGAGGTGTGACTTACCTGCTCTTGTGTAGTGTCAGAACATTGTCCGTTATTTCTTTTACATGCTCATAGTTTGGTCTCCTGGTTGGTTTGGTTCTGCATGTCAGGTGATCCTGATCTCCTCCAGCAATGACCCGATGTCTGAGGTTCTGTCCAAAAAGCTCGCTCAGCGTGCAGGATGTCTTCTCCGCTACAGAGTCGAGAA